GAATCTGTCAAAGAAAACAGCCAATCATAGGAGGTGGTGGCATTCCCTGTCCCACAACTGAACGAAACTAAGAGGCTTGTGTACTTGCCTCCACCTACTCTGATTGGCTTCTGGCTTTGACAACTTCCCGGCAGGATAACTCAGGTGAGTTTGGACTCATATAGGAGGAAGAGGTTGTGTCCTCGAAAAGCGTTAGCCAGTTGGTCATCCAGGATTCCATCGTATGGACTCAGATGTTGTTTGGATCATACATCTTGTTCAGTTTGACATGCCTGTGTTAATATGTCCATTGTGAGTATGATACCTATTTTGTTTCTTCAATAAATTATTTTAAAGAATAATGCACTAGGTCGGTGCGCCCTTTTTCTGTTTCTCCATTTGTATCCAGTGTATTTGGACCACCCCGATCTGTTGAGGGCAGAAAGCAGTGCATATTCCAGAAAATTCCAGAACATTCCTATTGGGTCTACTGAGTCCTTTCCTAGCGCAGGAATAAAGTGTTTGTTGTGTTGAGTTTGGACTCATCTCCAAACTTGCCTGAGCTCATCCTTGTTTAGTATCCACGCACCTGTGTGACTGTTTCATTTTCCTTGACAATTTCCCTTGGGATATTGGATGTTTCCAGTAATGGTACTTAATGACTGGTTACCTATGGTTCTGAGAAGCTTGCAGTATATTCCTTCCACCAGCATCCAAGCCTAGTCAAGCAGTAGATATGCATGGATTATTTTTGGAGAATAAGGATATTGTTCAATGTCACTTTAACATTGACCATGATGGTAGGATCATTAGGTATTATTTTGCTGAAATATGCAGAGTTAAAAGATTGAAAATTACTTTTGAAAATACCTTAACACGTTAGGGCTAATATGAGATTTTAGTGATTGGGTTTATTAGAACATTTTAGACTCCCTTTACATATGTATGTTACAATGCCATTAATTTTGAAGGTGCACAAAACACTGTTACAGTAGCAGGCAAAGTACATGCATTGCAGTGCAGCACAACATGCTGCGTTAAAGTGCCATCGGCCAGCATTGTTGTACTCAGTCCAAACATAGAAACATGGTTGAAGAACAACTTCACTTTAAAGTGGACCTATCATCATAGTTTTTTGTGTAAGTGCATGTATGCAAAGTAATGTGTACAGTCAGGTCCATAAATATTGGGACATCGACACAATTCTAACATTTTTGGCTCTATACACCACCACAATGGATTTGAAATGAAACGAACAAGATGTGCTTTAACTGCAGACTGTCAGCTTTAATTTGAGGGTATTTACATCCAAATCAGGTGAACAGTGTAGGAATTACAACAGTTTGCATATGTGCCTCCCACTTGTTAAGGTACCAAAAGTAATGGGACAGAATAATAATCATAAATCAAACTATCACTTTTTAATACTTGGTTGAAAATCCTTTGCAGTCAATTACAGCCTGAAGTCTGGAATGCATAGACATCACCAGAAACTGGGTTTCATCCCTGGAGATGCTCTGTCTTCAGTTCCTGCTTGTTCTTGGGGCATTTTCCCTTCAGTTTTGTCTTCAGCAAGTGAAAAACATGCTCAATCGGATTCAGGTCAGGTGATTGACTTGGCCATTGCATAATATTCCACTTATTTCCCTTAAAAAACTCTTTGGTTGCTTTTGCAGTCTGCTTTGGGTCATTGTCCATCTGCACTGTGAAGCGGCGTCCAATGAGTTGTGAAGCATTTGGCTGAATATGAGCAGATAATATTGCCCAAAACACTTCAGAATTCATCCTGCTGCTTTTGTCAGCAGTCACATCATCAATAAATACAAGAGAACCAGTTCCATTGGCAGCCATACATGCCCACGCCATGACACTACCACCACCATGCTTCACTGATGAGGTGGTATGCTTAGGATCATGAGCAGTTCCTTTCCTTCTCCATACTCTTCTCTTCCCATCACTCTGGTACAAGTTGATCTTGGTCTCATCTGTCCATAGGATGTTGTTCCAGAACTGTGAAGGCTTTTTTAGATGTCGTTTGGCAAACTCTAATCTGGCCTTCCTGTTTTTGAGGCTCACCAATGGTTTACATCTTGTGGTGAACCCTCTGTATTCACTCTGGGGAAGTCTCCTCTTGATTGTTGACTTTGACACACATACACCTACCTCCTGGAGAGTGTTCTTGATCTGGCCAACTGTTGTGAAGGGTGTTTTCTTCACCAGGGAAAGAATTCTTCGGTCATCCACCACAGTTGTTTTCCGTGGTCTTCCGGGTCTTTTGGTGTTGCTGAGCTCACCGGTGCATTCCTTCTTTTTAAGAATGTTCCAAACAGTTGTTTTGGCCACGCCTAATGTTTTTGCTATCTCTCTGATGGGTTTGTTTTGTTTTTTCAGCCTAATGATGGCTTGCTTCACTGATAGTGACAGCTCTTTGGATCTCATCTTGAGAGTTGACAGCAACAGATTCCAAATGCAAATAGCACACTTGAAATGAACTCTGGACCTTTTATCTGCTCATTGTAATTGGGATAATGAGGGAATAATACACACCTGGCCATGGAGCAGCTGAAAAGCCAATTGTCCCATTACTTTTGGTCCCTTAAAAAGTGGGAGGCACACATGCAAACTGTTGTAATTCCTACACCGTTCACCTGATTTGGATGTAAATACCCTCAAATTAAAGCTGACAGTCTGCAGTTAAAGCACATCTTGTTCGTTTCATTTCAAATCTATTGTGGTGATGTATAGAGCCAAAAATGTTAGAATTGTGTCGATGTCCCAATATTTATGGACCTGACTGTAAGTGTAACACTTCCAGGTATTTACTGCCTCTCACAGAGATCTCAGTACTACCTCCTGACCATGGCTTTATCTGCATATCTCTCCAAAAGGACAGACTCATCTAGGTTCAGACATTATACATGGTTTGCATCAAACATTTTATTTATATACCTTCATTTAATGTCACAGGATTTTAGATTCAGCTGAATATAGGTTGCTTATGGGCAAAGCTATTTTACTGTACTCCCATTAAGAGTCATTTGGTTAAAATAGGCTGACCAAAAATGAAGATCTCTACAGAGAAGTTATCTTCTCTTCCATTCAGTGGCATACTTTTAGCCAGAAGATTACAAGCCTGCCCACCGCGGCAAGGTAGACTCTTCTGAGGCAGGACACTAAATTACACTAAGCTACCCTGCTTGATGCTAGTCATCCTTTTTTAGTGTTGGATGTATGTATACAGAAGGCCTCATCCTAAAACCTTTGTGCAATCTACTTAACCCTATTTTGTTTGTCCATCTGTGTAAATTTCACAATTTCCCTGACAGAGACCACAATGCAGAGGATGAAGGGTTACTTTTCACTGGAGATTGAAGATCTCCATAGAGAAGGGATCTTTTCTTCCATTCAATGACACACTTTTGGCCAGAAGATTACAAGCCTGCCCACTATGACAACGTCGATTCTTCCAGGGAAGGACCTACACTTAGCTACCCTAATTTATGCTAGTCATAATTTTTCCAGTGTTGGATGTACACTATATTGCCAAAAGTATTGGGACACCCCTCAAAATCATTAGATTCAGGTGTTCCAATCACCTCCATGGCCAAAGGTGTAGTAAAATCAAGCATCTAGGCATGCAGACTGCTTCTACAAACATTTGTGAAAGAATGGGTTGCTCTCAGGAGCTCAGTGAATTCAAGCGTGGTACCGTGATAGGTTGCCACCCGTGCAATAAGTCCATCCATGAAATTTCCTTGCTACTAAATATTCCATGGTCAACTGTTAGTGGTATTATACCAAAGTGGAAGCAACTGGGAACAGCAACTCAGCCACGAAGTGGTAGGGCAAGAAAAGTGGCAGAGTGGGGTCAGCACATGCTGAAGCGTACAGTGCGCAGAAGTCGCCAACTGTCTACAGAGTCAATAGGTAAGGACCTCCAAACTTCATGTGGCCTTCAGATTAGCAAAACAACCATCTGTAAAGAGTTTCATGGAATGAGTTTCCATGGCCAAGCAGCTGTATCCAAGCCTTACATCATCAAGTGCAATGCAAACCATCTGATGCAGTGGTGTAAAACATGCCGCCACTAGACTCTAGAGCAGTGGAGATGTGTTCTCTGGAGTGACAAATCACGCTTCGCTGTTTGGCAATCGGATGGACATGTCTGGGTTTGGCGGTTTCCAGGATAATGGTACTTGCCTGACTGCATTATGCCATGTGGCATAGTTAGGTGAAGGGGAGATTATGGTGAGGGGTTGTTTTCTAGGGGTTTGGCTTGGCTCCTTCATTCCAGTGAAGGGAACTCTTAAGGCATCAGCATATCAAGACATTCTGGACAATTTCATGCTCCCAACTTTGTGGGAACAGTTTGGGGATGGCCCCTTCCTGGTCCAACATGACTGCGCACCATTGCACAAAGCAAGGTCCATAAACACATGGATGAGCGTGTTTGGGGTGGAGGAACTTGACTGGCCTGAACAAAGTCTTGACCTTAAGCTGATAGAACACGTTTGGGATGAATTAGGGCGGAGACTGCGAGCCAGGCCTTCTCGTCCAACATCAGTGCCTGACCTCACAAATGCGCTTCTGGAAGAATGGTCAAACATTCCCATAGACACACTCCTAAACCTTGTGGACAGCCTTCCCAGAAGAGTTGAAGCTGTTATAGCTGCAAAGGGTGGGCCAACTCAGTATTGAACTCTACACTAAGACTGGGATGCCATGAAAGTTCATGTGTGTGTAAAGGCAGGCATCCCAATACTTTGGGCAATATAGTGTGTGTATTTAATATGCCTCATCCTATAGCTGTGTGTTATCTATTCTACCCTGATTTGTCTGTCTGTGTAATTTTCACTGCCACTGCGCACAATACGGGGGGGGGGGGGGGGGTGAAGAGAGGGTTAAATATTACTGCCACTGACCACAATGTAGAAGGGTGAGGGTTAAAGTGATATTAAACCCAGGCCCCTGCATTCACTATATCTGGTCTCCCACAGTACACACATGGAAATGCAATTGTTTTAGTAAATATAAACTGCTAAATACCTTTTCTTATCAGCAGTTAGAGCAGTCTTGTGACATCAGCAGAGCATTGTTAAAGCTTGTAGGCGTTTTCTTTTTCCGCTCTAGGAGGATGTAAAACCTCTGACCCTCTGTCTGGACAGTGCTGATTGGCCCTTTGCTGATCACATACACTCTGCTAAGAGAAAAAAAAACCTCTCTAGCAATACACACCAAACTGAGCATGTGCATGTGACTACAAATTCAGTCTGTATCAGGTGGTCATTTCAACAAGAGGAGGGGCAGAGAAGAAAGGATCAGCCTTTTCACACAATGCAGAGGATTAACCCCTTAGGTTCCACAGTGAGTATAACAAGCATGCTTTACTGCATATACAGACTGATTTTACTGTTGTGAGTTCAGTAACACTTTAAATTTCTCTCCCACTGACCATACTGCAGGGGAGTAGGCAGTTACATTTCACTGTCAGTGTAATGCAGGGGGTGTGGAGGGGGGGATACATTTCACTGCCACTGACCACAATGCAGGGGTTCATTTATTATTGAACTTACTGACGACAATGTCGGGGGTTTGCATTGTGTCCATTGACACCAATTCTGGGGGTACTTTTTGTACTCACTGGCACCTATAGTATGTTGAGGGTTATTATTGTACTCATTGATACAGATGCAGGAGTTATTGAACTTAATGATGCCAATGCTGAGGGTTATTAGTATACTCAGTAATATCGATACTGGGGGCTATTATTGAACTTACTAAGATTATACCAATGCTGGGGGTAATTGTTGCATCTAGTGACACCAATGCTGGCGATTATTATTGCATTCACTGACACCAACGCAGAGGGTTGTTATTGTGTCCACTTATATCAATGTAGGGGATTTTTATTGACTGACACAGATGCTGGAGGTTTCTATTCTGTCCACTGACACCAATGCTGGAGGTTATTGTACTCAGTGACACTGATTTTTTTTTTTTTTTTAAGTCTGCAAACGTGCAACTATAAACGAAAAACCCGTAAGTGTATCACAAAAAAAGTGCAAGTGCAAAACACCACACGAAAAAGTGCACTTAGGGGTGTGCTGTGTCCTACCCCTAAAGGGGCTTGGACCGCTTACCCTGATCCCTCGGGGCACAAAGCTCCTGACGGGGACAAGGTTCCCAATTGGTCCTCCTGGCCAAAAGGCCTGGTTGACCACCGTTCCTTGTGTCCAGCCGAAGCCAGACACACAGTACTTGGTCAGGGCGCTCTCCCCGAAGAAAAGCCCCCTAGGGATCAGGGGAGGAAAGAACCAAAAGGCCACACATCCTCCCCCTAGACTTCAGGGTAGGCCCGAGGACCCACACCCTCCATCCGTGAAAACACACACATAAGCGAAAGAAAAAGTGACAAACGTGGGAGGTGTAAATAAATTAAATAAATAGAAAATAAAAAAGTGGTACCGTGCCAAATTGTGCACAGACCAGGCCCTGAGGCCCGTAGCAAAAATTGCCCTGGTCCTAGCCAAAAGGCCTGGTCCTTAGGGCGCTGTGCAAAAAGAGTGTAAAAACAGTGACCATGTGCCATCTTCACACAGTGGGGTCCCACACCCAAGTGTTACTAGTGGCACCCCTGAGAGCGTCTACTCAGGGGGCACTGAGTTTGCAGACTTTCTGCCTCCCCTCAGCCCCTGGCCAGACCAAGGTAGATCCGTCCAAATCAGAAGGTACTGGGTCTTTCCAGTCTTCTCGGAGGAATTACTCCCAGGGCCCCAGCATAACTCGTGGCGCTCCCCGGTTTCTGTCCCTCCGGTACTAGCCTTCCGGACCCCCATCATACCAGTGAGGGTACTATACAACAGCCATCCCCGCAAAGCTAGAATGGCCGGGAGCACCCCCACTGGACACTGATAAGAACAGATACTACACTTGATCTTAGCCAAAAGGCCGAGAAGCGACACTGATGCTGGGGGTTATTACTGAACTCATTGATTAGATACTAATGTTGGGGGTTATTGTTGCATCCACTGACACCAATGCTGGGGGTTATTATTGAACTCACTGATATTACACAGATGTTGGGGGTTATTTGCATCCACTGACACCAATGCTGGTGATTATTACTGCGTTCACTGACACCAATGCTGAGGGTTTTTATTGTGTCACATCCCATATAATTTTGTGTAAAGTCGCGTTCCATAGACTTGCATACAAAGTTGAGTTTCCATAGACGTTAATGAAAAATGCCCCCTAGTGACTTCAATGCAAGACTGTATTCCGTAGACTTCAATGCAAAAATGCCCCCTAGTGAATTCATTGCAAAAGCACATCCCATAGATTTCAATGCAAAATCACGTCTCATAGACTTCAATGCAAAAATGCCCCCTAGTGACTTCACTGCAAAATCGTGTCAAATAGACTTCAATGCAAAATTGTGTCTCATTGACTTCAGTGCAAAAGCGTTAGCCACATTAAATACATTTTTTTTAAAAAAATTAAAAACTGTCCATTTTGGTTTTGGTGCATCCTGAAATTTCGGTTTCAGCACTGGAATTTTCATTACGGTGCACCACTAAATTGTATTGCATCCACTGACACCAGTGAAGGAGGTTTTTAGTGTGTCCATTGACACCAATGCTCATAGTTGTGATTGAATACACTGATACCAATGCTGGGTTTTTATTGTTGCATCTACTGACACCAATGCTGGGGGTTATTATTATGACCACCAACACCAATGCAGGAGTTTTTATTGTGTTCACTGACACCATTACTGGAGGTTATTGTACTCCAACTTCAGTGTGCATTGCTATTTGCTATGCACTGTAAAAAATACAGCAGGGCCAGAATTTTGGGGCATTGAGGTGCCCCGCCGGTGGTGTCTACAAATTGGCTGGGTGCCCCGCAGATCAGATCCTTTAGGAGATGCAACACTTGCAGTTCCACAAGGCAGCAAACATCCCAGTGCTGGGATCCCCAGGGCTGGGATACCCATGGGCCATCTGAAGGCTTAACCGCTTCAGCTCCGCCCCATAGCAGAAATTCTGTTACAGGGCAGCAGCTGTGCGCAAAATCAGGTATAAATAGTAAATAAAACAGTTCTCCTCCCTGTAAGCTCCTGCACAGCATAGTCATGCAAAGCAGTGTGCTTACAGTGAAGCACTAACACAGCACACAGTTATAAAATGGCACACAGCACACAGTTAACCCTTTGATTGCCCCAGATATTAACCCCTTCCTTCCCAGTGCTATTAGTACAGTGTCACTGCTTTTTATTAGCACTGATGAGTAACACTGGGGATGTCAGTGACACCAAGTCAATTCCCCCCCAAGTGTCAGACTGCCCGCCACAGTCCCGCTATAAGTCGCTGATTGCCACCATTACTAGTAAAACAAAAATGCTTTTTTTTAGCAAAGACATGTAGCAGAATACATTTTGGCCTAAATTTATGACAACATTTGATTTTAATTTTTTTTACTGGACATGTTTAATAGCAAAAAGTCAAAAGTATTGTTTTTTCTCAAAATTGCCGGTCTTTTTTTTTTTATAGCGCAAAAATTAAAAAAGGAGTTGCGATCAAATACCACCGAAAGAAAGCTCTATTTGTGGGGAAAAAAAAGGACGTAAATTTAATTTGGGTGCAGCGTTGCATGACCGCGCAATTATCAGTTAAAGTAACGCAGCGCCGTGATGCAAGAAAATGGCCTGGTCAGGAAAGGGGGGAAATCCTCAGGAAGGCAAGTGGTTAATACTGGATTCCTTTTTTTTGTTTGTTTTTTTTTTTGCCAACTGGACATTCCACATGTGAGTTTATTGTCTGGTTGCTAGGAAACTGCTGTACATGTTACCAGCCACCCAGGTCTGATCAGGGCACTGCTTACCCAGCGCACTGCCCACTTGCAGTTGTAGAGATTATGGTCAAGACAGTTTATATGGAGCTTTGCCCTTTCCTACCTCCTGGCACTGTAACAGGGAGTGCAGTTCTGAAGTTCAGAGTGGGGGGTTGGAAAACCAGGCTTTGGCACAACAGAAAAAAGGCCGCAAAAGGAACTCGTGCAGTGATGATCTGGTGATGATATAAATGCAGTACATGGTCCATCAAGAGTTGTTATTCCAAGCAAGTTCCCAGCTAGTCTGACAGGATCCAGGAGCTGGGAGGGGCCAGCGTTGACGGATCGTTCTGTGGGCGGGCCTACAACAAGTGACAGCACAAGAATGTTTACAGGGCTCTGTTGGAGCGCTGCTGCCTGGCTGGGAAACGTCAGGCGGATTGACAACTCGACTCCAAGGACTCTAAACGGCGATTGGTTGAAACCGGTCACGGCGTCCCATGATTGGCCGACTGAGAAGATGGGATGGAAGATGATTAATGTTGTGTGTTGCGGGAGACTGAGTTGATTGACAGAGCATTCTCGGGTCTGATTGGTTCGCCGGGACCGGCCGCCCGTAGGCATTGGCTGTATGTGTTGCACGCTGAGCGCTGATTGGTTGAGGGGAAACGAGGGAGGGCAGTTAGAGAGGCCCCAGGAGGTGCCTGCTGCTGCAGCTGTAGGGAGATCGGAGCCGAGAGGTGCGGAGGGGCCGGGGAGAGGTGATGGTTCCGTGGTGTTGAAGTGGTGGAGGGGAGCCGGGATGGCGCGGAGCCCCAAGGAGGGCAGTGTGTCTCCCTCCTCCAGTCTTCGTGGTACCAGGGAGACTCTCAGCGATCCGGAACTCGAGTCTGTCGGCTCGGACTCCGAGATCAACGGCTTCACCGTGGAGAGGAGGACCGACAAGTACGGCTTCCTGCTGAAGAGCGATGTGGACGGGAGACGGTGAGTGCAGGAGCACCGGGACACGTCTGTGGCCTGGGGACTGTCAGCTGTCTCTGTGGATGGAGGGAGGGCGGGCTGTGTGTGAAATCTGTGTCACTAGTGGGGACTGATCAATGCCAGGACCGAGCTGTCACATCACTGTGCCACTTCTACAGGACATACACCTGACGATTCTACAGACGATCAATGCCAGGACCGAGCTGTCACATCACTGTGCCACTTCTACAGGACATACACCTGACGATTCTACAGATGATCAATGCCAGGACCGAGCTGTCACATGACTGTGCCACTTATACAGGACATACACCTGACGATTCTACAGACGATCAATGCCAGGACCGAGCTGTCACATCACTGTGCCACTTATACAGGACATACACCTGACGATTCTACAGACGATCAATGCCAGGACCGAGCTGTCACATCACTGTGCCACTTATACAGGACATACACCTGACGATTCTACAGACGATCACAGTGTCCATACACTTACTCTGCGATCGGAAATACCAAAAGATCCTTCCATGCCCC